CACACACACACTCTCACACACACACACACACACACTCTCACGATGCTGTGAAGACTGAACAGACCTGCTGTGTGTGTCGGTGTGAGCTGAATCCCGCCAGGATCACTCCTCGCTCTCGTCTGCTGGAGAAGCTGCTCATGATCTCCGTCTGAAGAGTCAAGAGGACGGCAGGCATCTCCAGAAAACCTCCGCCGAACACCGACACACTGCGGATCGGCTGCAAACACAGCAGAAAATCCTCCAAATCAGAAACTTCAAGAGAAGAAATACTCCTTCAATTATAATTAATAACTTTCCTGGAGATCACACAACTTTATATGTCTATGTTTGTGTTTGTATTAAAACATAAGGGTCAAAGAATATAATAATTAAGGGAGTTTAAAATAATTTTTTGTAATAATCTATCAAAAAATATTAATATTCTATCTTTTAATATAAAATTATTACAGTAATAATGTTATATTGATAAGATTTTAGTTTTAGATATTATACATTTTATTCAAATGATTATAGCAATAATGTTAAATGATAATATTTTAATATTTTAGAGCTTTAGATATATATTTTTATCTAAAATTACCATATTCATAATATGTTATATTCTTTGTTTAGAGATTTAAACAAAGAAAATGAAAGGGGTTCAAACTTAATTAAGGGGCTTTAAAATAATCTTTAGTAATGATAAATATAAATACTGTATATTAATATTATAAATATAGTATTAATATTTTATATTAATAAAAATATTGTATTTTTTGTTTAACTTACTATTTCAGTGTCCTTTGTTTTATAGCACAATAACAAATGAAAGGCAATAAAAAATACTGTACTTTTCACATACATATTAGTACTGTAAACAATAATTGTGATTTAATGAGTGAACTGATTAATTTAATCAATTAATTACTTCAGATTGGTTTGTTTTGCAGTTCAACAGACGCAAGAATCCATTAAACACACAAATGCCAGAAAACCCACAACATTTGACATTTTAATTCATTCATTTTCAGTGAGTGTTTTATTTTGAAGTGCTTTACTTTTAAAATGATTGATTTCAATTTTATATTTTATTTAAGCGTTTTATTTTTTTTGTGTTTTATTTAAATTATTTAAATTTTACATTTTGTACCTCTTAATTAATTTTCTTTTATTTTAATTGTAAATTTTTGAAGTGCTTTACTTTTAAAAAATTATTTATTTTAATTTTATATTTTAAACATTTCATTCATTTTAGCAAGAGGTATGATTTTTTAAATTTCAAAATTATTTGTTTATTTTAACTTTACATTTTTACCATTTAATATATTTTTATTAAGTGTTTTATTGAACATTTTTAGTGTTTTATTTAAGCTTTTTTTTGTGTGTGTTTTATTTAAATTATTTAAATAAATAAAAATTTACCTCTTAATTAATTTTCTTTTATTTTAATTGAACATTTTTAGTGTTTTATTTAAATGATTTTAATTTTAATTTTTACCTCTTAAATATTTTTCTTTTTTTTAATTGCACATTTTTTTATGATTAAATTCTTAAATTTTCATGTGATGCTGTACCTTGAGGACGCAGCCTTTCTTCACTCCATACGACTCTCTGAGCAGATCGAAGTTTGTGCGAGCGATTTCTACATTCTTCATACAGCCGACGAAAGAGCGAGCCACAACCTGCCTCCTGCATCCGTGCACAAGAACATCACATGTAAGACAAAAAACATTCCAAAGCACACATAGCACATCTTCTGAGAGTTTGCTCTCACCTGATTGGTCGAGAGGCCGGTAATCCGCCGATGTAGATGGGGTCGAGGTCAGAGCGATTGAGGTCAGAGGCCGAACCCGGAGACTCCGCCTCCATGACCTCTCGCTCTGAGGGGTTATCAGCGGCC